TATTTATATATATATACAGGATACAACTTATTTTGTAATTATAAACAGGGAGAAAATGTAAATGAGTATTGCTTATGTGGAGTTTTACTTTTTGATATCTGAATCAAAATGCATACGGGTATTTTTTAAATCAATGTTTATATATGAGTTTCATTTTGGCTTTGCAGACCATCTACACTGGAACTAAAATAATTTTGAGCAGCAAGACACAAAGACACCAATGTGTGGATGTGCCATACATTGTTGAACAAAAAACAAACAAACATTTAGAACAAAGGAAGGAGGAGCAGACAGGATTAATCACACTGCTTCAGGTAACTTAGAAACCATCGATCAGGCCTGAAATCTGGGTTTAGGGAGGGACTCAGATCTGAACCACAGACTAACAAAGTCAGCCTTTTATCACCTTAAGAACATTTTCAAGATTACAGAACTAATGTCCAAGCAGGATTGTATTGAATTGATTACTGCGATGGTATCTTCAGGTCTGCCTTTTAAAGTTGATCAAAGAGCTGCAGTTGAGTGAGAGTCTTGCTAGGAGCATCCTCACTAAAGCTAATAAATTAGAGCATATCACCCTATAGTGCTAAAGTCCTTACATTCCCCCTGTTTATTAGAGATGTCAGAATACTTAGAAAGCTGTATAAGGCACTACATAGCTTAGCACTGTATTGTATTATGTTAAGTCAATGTATCAACTGCACAGATATCTCAGGTATTTTGGTTTAAATCTGCTCTGCAGCCAGAAACAGATCCTAACATAGAGATTTGCTCGGCTGGGTTGAACTCCAGCTGGACTAGAAACTAGAATAAAACAGAGATTAACTCTCATAAAAGGGTAAAAATACTAGAACCATAATTTCTTAGACAGTCAAAAAATAATATTTGTTTGGAATTTGATTTTCATATTTAAAATATTGATTTAAAACATCATTCACGTGTGTTTATATTTCAACCTATCTATTATTTCCCTTAATATGTCAACTTTTGTTGTCACATGTTTCAATCATATAAAGCCAGGTATTTTATTTTTTAATTCTTTTGATAAAATGGGCTAATCATCCAGGCTTTGCCTTATTTGCGGAAAAGATTTGCATAATGCATTTAAGAGCTGATATATTAAAGCTTCGATATTTCTATTCAAATAAATTTCAAAATTGAATTCTCGTATAAAACTGAAATGGGCGCTAACTTTAATGGATATATTTCATGGCCTCCTTTGACAAAAAACATCCGTTTTTTTAGGTTTTTTTTTTTTTCTTTCAAAGTGTTGCCGTTTGTTTTATTTTATTTCTATTTACATATTCCGGAAATCGTGTCTTTTCAAAATTGCAGCTTCATAATGATCTGAAGCCGACTATAAACAAAAGTGCAGAGTTCTTGTTGCTTCCGGCGCTCTGCAGCGCATGCGAGGCAGATCTCTGTGTGTGTAAGTTATCGGCACCGTAAACTGTTGGAAATCATCTGGAGATGAAAACGGTGGGGGAGAGGGGTTGGCAGGCGGCCATTGCGCTTTTAGGTTTTACCGATATAAAGTTTGCCTTTACTCTCGGCCACAAATGATCCCTGATACTCATCCCCACCCACTCCAACCAGCTGCTTCCTCCCTTTGCTTAAAATGGTTGCCTGCTGGTTCTTAAACTAATCCTTATTTAACATCTCAATCTCAGCAATCAATGAATCAATGAATCAATGATCAATGAAAGATTTACTAAGTAAAAACTTTAAAATGCTGCTGTTTATTTATTAATGTAACTACATGTCCAGCAAAGTAATCTACTTATGCCTAATTAACTTGTCTCAATTTTTGCTCATTGGAGGCTTCTGCCAATAGACAAGTAAGCACCGTTATCTGGTTGGGCACTATATGAAGTATAACACCATCCCACCCCCATCCCCTGGGTTGGGGGTGGGGGTTTTATTTTTATTATTTATTGTTTTTTTGTGTTTATTTATCTTTTATGTTTGCCTGCCTCTTTCTGTTCCCCTGTATGATGCTAAATGCTTGATAACCCGCATTTAAGGCAATAAAGTTAAAAAATAAAATAAATAAAAGTACCGCTGTCTGCTTTGCTATTGGTGTCGTGTTTAAACGGCTCACCATCATGTTGAAATCTGGCATGTCTTGGGGTATAAATAAAGTCTGGTCAGTCATTTTGATGTCAGGTGGGTTTTTAAGAGGAATTTTCGCACCATTACGTTCGCAATGAGACGTCCTTATCCACAATTGTGTAGGTGGCCTACCAGGTGTCAGTAATGGGGCCCTTAAGAGGTAGTGGCCCCTAAACAAATGCAATCTCTGCTTACCAATAGTTACGCCATTGGCTTCTGCAATTAATGTGCTACAAAAATAAATAATCTATTATCAGCGACACAAACTGGGGTTGGTTTACTCTTCCTTTGAAAATGCTTTAGAGGGAAAAAAAAACTCAATAAAAGGAAAGCTTGGGGGAATGGGCTGCCTAGTGGTTAGGGTATAGGGCTTGGAATCCTATTCCCACTCCCACAGACTGCCACTCTAGGTTTCTGAGCAAAGATCCTTAACCCCGATTGCTCCATGGTCGCCCTGAGATGGCAGCCCACTGCTGCCCAAAGGGATTAGTTAAAAGCAGAGGTAAATTTCTCCAATGTGAGAACAATAAAGTTCAGTTATTAATCAAATTCTTCTTTATAGATAAAAGTCACTGGGTTGATCTGGTCTTATTAACAGTAGAAGATATTAAAAGCCATGAATGTTTTTTGGTGTACCAAACATTTTACCCAAATTAAAAGTCATCAAAGTCTCTATTTGGAACAACCAAATGAGCCAAAATTGAATTTTTCTTCTTGAATTACAGTCGAGGGCTGAGTAAAGTCAGTCCATGAGCCACTGTTATCCCCAGAAATGCACTTTGGACATAACCTGGCAGTATCCAGATTGAGAACTTGACTTCTACATTTTCTACATTGTTGTGAGACTGAAAGCTCAGATCTCACGACAGTCCAGCTTTGGACGTTAATTTCTAAACAATTTTATGATGCAATAAACATCCTTTATGAAATCTGTTTTAAATTCATTTGAATTTAACTCTGTTTGAGTTGTCCCTGCACCTTTTTCTTTGCTTTTTTGAATGCTTATTTAACAAGCAGCAGTGTGAAATGTAAAAATCTGCCTTTTTAATTTTCTTTTTAATCAGGAGGGAAATCTTCCATTCCCTGAAGGAAAGCTCAGTATGTCAGCAGAACTGTTCAGATGTGCTCACAGTCTAGGTCTGTTATATTACGACTGAGCAACTAAAATAGTTGATTCAACAGAAAGGGTCATCAGATTCCTCTTGTAGGAGCTATAATTGTTCATAGTTTGTGAATAGTAAGAAAGTCTCAATCAAAGATAGGGTGTCAAGTATTGAAGAACAGAGCAGCTAAGAAATAGGTTTTTCAAGTTTAACTTCATTTTTGTTGGTGACAGTTCATATACTTTTTGAATATTTTACAGATTGATCAGAACTTCTTGCAGCTCATGTAGAGCTTTTAAATTTCAACAAACTGACTGATCAAGAGTAACAGAAGTGTTTGGAGTAATCCTCTTGTGTTGCAAATAAAGTTTCAGCCAGCTTCACTTTGTATTTGCATGATCTCAGATGTGGGAGCAGCTCCTGGGAATTTTACAGCATGTGAGAACAAATTTCTGGGTCATGAAGAGGATCGGGGGCAGGGAGGGATTTACCATTAGGCAATACAAGGCAGGCCATAAAACTCTGTTTACAAGTATGGTTAATACAACTGTTCCTTATTTGTGCACAATAATTATGTTTTTGATAAAAATCGTTCCGCTAAAACGCCATCAGAATGCTTATAATATTAAAGGGCTGGTTATACCCCCACAGCAGTGTGTTGCTGGTATGTCGCAGATATTTTTGATTTATGCCCAATATTGAAGCGTGGTCTGCGCTATGCTATTCCACACCACAACGCAAGACGAACAAACACCAACTAGCTGTGGCTCTAGATACTACCGAGGCTTTGAAGAAGTTGGGGCAAGTTTGTCCGACAACAGAGGGACATGAGGGCGAAAGAGAGCAGGGATCCAGGCGGACAAAGGGTCCCAGCATTCCATTTTAATGAGCCGTTTTCCACAATGGCAGTCATACAAACAAAACAAGCTGGTAAGTTACCAAACAGGAAATAGACAGCAGAAAAACCATTTAAAAACAAATGGTGCAAAGAGCAGTGTTGCCAACTTAGCTCTTTTGTCGCTATATTTAGTGACTTTTCAGACCCCTCTGGCACTTTTATTTCAAAAGAGCACCTAGTGCCAAACCTAGCGACTTTTTTTCTGCTACTGGAGACTTTGAGGACAACATATAGAAGCACTGAACTCTGCTCTTCAGAGCAAGCAGATTGCTAACCCCGCCTCCTGCTCTCCTCTATCTTGTCTGCTGTCATGATTCATGCAACTATTATTTCATCCAAATGAAAAATGGAGAACAGATAAACAGATCATGGCTTGTCTACAATAAAATGTGTTATTTACTTTTGCCTTCGCCTTTTTGGGTATATAGAAAAGAGCAATAGGCTAAGGCCATATCTGTCTTTGCCTAGGGCCCCAAATTTCCCAAATCCGCCCCTGATCGGGGGGGAGAAATGCAGCTACTGAGGCTTTAAGATATCCAAGATGAATAGCATGTTCCGGGACTGTCTTCCCCTGAGAACTTCCCTGCTAAGGCATGGAACCACCGGTACAGAGCTTGCTCACCAGTGGCACAAGGAGGGTGTGAGCACAGCTCAATATAAAGGTTTTCAAACTGCAGGACAAGACGGGCTACAAAGAATCCTCCCAGTCTGAAATTCTTTGGTAAATACTAGTATAAACAGCAGGAGGATTTGTGACAACTTATGTTCTTCTAATGTGTCCTTCTGTTTGTATGGGATATAAGCAGATTCATTCCTTAGAATAGATAAATATGAATCCTAAGGCGGTAGGCTTTCCCACATTTCTGAATATAAACACTTCTATGAAGAATAACACTCAACAAAAATATAAACGCAAGACTTTTGGTTTTGCTCCCTTTATTATGAGATAACCTCAAAGATCTTTAACTTTTCCCACATACACAATATAATCAGTTCCCTCAAATATTGTTCACAAACCAGTGTAAATCTGTGTTAGTAAACTCTTCTCCTTTGCTGAGATAATCCATCCCACTTCACAAGTGTGCCATATCAAGATGCTCATAAGACACCATGATTAGTGCACAGGTATGCCTTAGACTGCCCACAATAAAAGGCCACTCTGAAAGGGGGTCCCAAACATGCACAACGGGTGACATGTCCGGTGAGTATGCCGGCCATGGAATGGGACATTTACAGTAGTGATGGGCAAGTGAAGCCTCATGAAGCAATGAAGCTTTC